TTTCTATAGTCCATTAAATATGATATATTTTCTATAGAATTTTTTAGATAATCTTTACTTATTTTTATAATTTATTTTACAAATCACTTATTGACTGAAAAGTGCGATCTAGTTGTGCCCCGAGTTCAACGGAAGTGCAGTGAACTTTTTTTTTCAAGGCATTGTGGCAACTTTATTTGCGTTATCACTTGGCAGCAGCTGCCATTGCCCCACGGCCCCATCCCCCCTGCCACCGCCCACTATTACCGATTGTTGTACCGATCTATTGTGCCTGTGTGGCCCACTGTGCCCTTTTTGGGGAGTGGGGTGGGGTGGTGAGGTGGTGTTGCACATACAACAAATGTCATTTGCCTGCCGCGTTCTTTTGTTTGGATGCCTCTTCCTCTTGGTTGCATTTGTCGCTTCCGTTTGATTTGGCAGCTTTATGACACGAGGCCCCAAAGGATTTTCACGCCCAAACAAATAAGTGAGTGGAGTGGAGTGGAGTGGTGGGGAGTACTCTCTCCCCTCCACCTCCTCACTCAAAAACAACAACTCTCATTGACAATAACAATCAGCAGTCTCTGCCCACTCATTTCTCTTTAATTGCGTCAAATTGTTGAGTTCTCTTTGGTATTGCTTTCCCATTTCACCGCCTCAACGCCGTCCCTTTCTAATGCTTTGTTTACACTCGATGGCCGCAATGTGGCGAAAAATAAACACACACACAAACACACAGGCATGCTGGCACACACACGGCGAGAAAACTCTTGAGCACATGGCAGGAAAAGTGAGGAAAATGTAGGGAAAAGTGAGACAGGAAAAATCTTCGATTGCCCAAAAAGGGAAAGGGAGTGGAAGGGGAAGTGCAGCTGCTGGGCGGTGGGAGTGTGGGGGGGTGGTGTTAAAATGCCGCGACAATGGCATCTTAGCTATTTCTCAGCATCTTCTATCTTATAGATACACTCAGAAAAGTACAATTTTTTTGGAGGAAAAAGGATATGCTACCTTTTCTACTACTTCTACCATTTCTACTACTACTACTACCTTTCTACTACTACTATCTTTTCTACTACTACTACCTTTTTTACTACTACTTCCTTTTCTACTACTACTACCTTATCTACTACTACTGCTAATAGAACTACTCCTACTACTACCCCTTTTTTGCTTCTTAAAGCCTAAAATATTAAAAAAATGTATTTTTATAGCAATTAAAAAATTTAGAAAAATACTCTAGCCTAGTATATATCTTAAATTACTATAATCCAATAATACCCACTTTTTTGGACAGTGTATAATGCAACAAATTTAAATGCTTATCCATTTTAGCCATATAGCCATATAGACAGACGTCTTGTCGTCTGCGCTGCTGCATTCAGTTAACCCCTTCCGCCCCCAACTTTGTTCCGCCCTATTCCCAAATCCCCCAGACCCCCTCTCCTCCCTTTCCATCAGTCACTGGAAGAATTCTCTGGAGTGCAGTGGAAGAAAGAGAGCGAGAATTATGGAAATCCCTGGATGAGAAAACCTATTCATGGTTTTTATTGTTGCAGCATGGCGCATGCATCCCCAGGGAAGTTTGCGGCAAGAGGAGGGGTAGGGAGTAGGCAAATGAGGGGAGGCATGCCCCAAGAGAGCGAAATAAAAACATCAACAAACATGAAGTGTCGCCAACGATACAGGAATTAAAATTAACAACAAAATTACACAGAAAATTATTTTACAAAAATATTAAAAGGAAATACTTTTTTTTACAGTGCATTAAAAATCAACAGTTATCTTAAATGCCTTTTAAATGAATTGTTCTTTTCCAGATACTTGACTTTACGATCCATAAACCAAAAATAAAATTGAAATCGAAAAAAATGCAAATAATAAAGTTTTACATAACAATTGCTTTAAAATCAGTTGTTAACTCGAAACACTTGAATTTATTGGCCATAAAAAGTAAGAAAAAAAAAAAAATACAAAGAAATACTTTAAAAAAAGAGACACAAATAGATAGTGCAACCGACGACCCATTTTCCATTTTCCACTTCCTCTCAAACATTATGGTTCGATGTTCAATCAATCAATCATGTTTCTCCAATGTAGGCCCATAAAAAATAAATGCATTCTCATAAAATCCAAAAAAGAATAGTAGGAATACCCATCTTCTATTCTCACTTTCGATTTCTTTCCTGATATAATATTATGATAATCAAAATTCCATAAATTTAATCGCCTAATAAGTCCCACATATTGCCCACATTTCCATGTCATCTTTAGTATTCCAAACGTGATCTTTCCTTGATTTTCTGCAATTTTCATAATTTTCTTATGAAAGTCTATGATATTGACAAGAAATTTGACCTGATTTGCGGGTTTATTATGGTTTTTGATTATATAGAACAAAGGGGTTTTGAATTTTTGGTTTAAGGTTATTTTGGGTATAGTTATAGATTCATTAGTATTCAAAAGTATATTATGAGTCTATTCTAGGGGAATATGGAACCCTATGCTAGAAGTTTTAATAAAAGCTTTAAAAAAAAGTCTTTTAAAAATAAATATATCCATAGTAATTAGGGATAAAGGGTTGACAAAGTCTTTTTTAGTTCAGTATTTTTTTTTCAAAATTTTATACTGCAATACAAAAATACAACTTCAAGGTTATACTTATGAAAAAATTATTACAATATACCTATATTCCTAAACCTTAAACTTTTCTTCAGTCAAATCTTAAAGAAACCAGTCAAATCTTTTCATTCTTTTAAAAAATCGTAGTTTTTTTTTTCAAAACTAGTTTCAATTTCTTTTAGAAAATAAAGCAAAATCCTTTGAATTTCGACCACATTCCCATCGCCTGTCATCGAACACAGCTGTATGTGTTGATCTATTATTTCGTTCCGACATTTTTCGAGTAGTTTTTACTCGATTTTTTACGATTTCGAATGTTTTGTCGTTGATTTTATGGGCCTTTAATGTGCGCCAGTGACAAGCCATAAATGAATGTGTATAGAAAGGGGGGATTTGGGGCCACAGCCATCGTTGAATGGCAAGAGATATGCAGTTTTTTGATTTCAGTGCATTGTGACATTGAACACCTTTCCCGGTTCTCAGGCCTCTGTTTGCTTTGGTGGAGAGTGGGGAGTACTATTCAATAGAGCACTTCGTAGAGTCAAATCAATCGGTTTATTTGTTGACTTAGTTGCTGTCATTTTTCTGTGTAAACAAGTGACATCTGGTCATCCCCGTCCCCGGGCGCCCCTTTTTATTTTTTATCTCATGAATTTGTGGATGAGTGGACGCCTCTGTTTGCATTCGGATATCGGTATCTAGTCAGTCCAGTTGTATTGTAGATGCATCTACAGGCTGGGTAAAGTATCTAGCAGATATATTGGATTTATTTTCTAGGAATACCCATCTTGACCGCTATTGTATGGGGCCTCCATCATCAATGGAGGAACTGTGTGCTGCCCCCTCTAGCTATAGGATACTCTTTGGCTTTATCTATAAGATACAATCTGTGGCATTCCGCGCAAGAAAATTAAGCAATGACGAGGCAGGGGAGAGGGGAATGTCGGCAGCAGCGGCGGCGCATCAGAAATATTTAATTAAATGCTTAATTACGCTTGCCATGCCATAAATTCATCAAATGCAATTTAAGACCGCGCACACGAACAGATGCAGATACTTTTGTATCTTTTACGGTTTTTTTTTCATTCATTGAGAGTTCAACTAGAGATGCAGTTGCAATTGGGACTCGTTTTTTATAACTGACATAAATCCCAGACCTGTCCTGGTGGTAGTTTTTTTTCAGATCTGTATTCCATACCAGAACCAAACTAGGAAGCATAGAACCTTCTTTGGATTCTGCCAAGATCTTAACTCTTGATAGGTCAAAGTTCAATCTAGACTCTAGATTCTAACAGTTTTCTTAGGAAATCTTAACTTTTTCAAGTCTTCTCCTTTGAGATTGCGCAATCCATTCAATTACGATTCAATTTATGGCAAATGCATCTCATCAATCGCTTATCTGATCAGCTCCAATTAGCCATATAGGCCCATATAGCCCCACATAGCAGTACTCCCCCCATGATGATCTGATTTGGCAATCCACACAATCGGTTCGATTCTTGGGGTAATCCATCAAATTGCTTACTGATCCCCAACTGAAGAAATCAAGGGTCAGGTCACCTCCTCCATGGGGGGGCCTGGCCATAAGAAGGGGGGGTTCGGCTGGGCTGGCGTTGAAATTGACAAATTGCAGGGAATTCGAGCAGTTGGAAAATGAAAACGAAACGCGAGCAATTACTTTTAATTGAAAATGTCAAACATTGTCTTGTATGGAATACCCTAGACACTGTAACAAAAACAAAATACTAAAATCTAACAACAAATTAACAAAAATAATTACTTAATTTCCTTTTTGAAATGTATATCTTTAGAGGAAAGTACTTTCAAATAAATAGTTTTTGTTTTTAATGACTATATTTGCTATATATTTAAGTTAATAGGAAAAAAAATAAAATATGCACTGAGAGAATTGTTCTTTGAATAATGAAATGAAAAACATACTTAAAAATTTCTATACTTTTCGAGTAATTTTTTGAGTATTTTTAAGAAGTGTATGCTTATAAATTGGATTATAAGCTATAGAGCTCTATGTTTTTGAAGTATTTTTTAGAGAAATATTTAAAAAATGATTTTAAACTTATAATTTTTACCTTTTTCTTTCATAGCCCCCATTTTCTTTCAGTGCCTACCTTAAGATACTTAGATACTTCGATACTTGAATAGAAACATAACGCATACCGCCGGATATTTTGTATACAAATCTATATCTAAAACCGAGCACTTGAGGGCCGTACGCAAGCACCTTGAGCGGAAATGCGATAACCCTGAACGGGTGGCAGGGGGGAGGTGTGAGACGGCGGAAAAGCGGAAAATAGGAACAAAATGGGAGCGCACATGTTGGGGCGCCACAGATGATTTTCCTCAAATTTTGTTGAGGGGCCGGAAAAGCTTATTTTTCTTACCGGATAACATGGGCGCCAAGGCGATACCATTGCTGTCTGTTTGTTGCTGTTGAGGATTATGATGATTGCCGAAGGATCCATGAGAGTCCTGTTGTTGATCCTGTTTGAGGGCAGCCGATTTTCCTGGCACACAGCCACCAATAGGTTTCTTGGATTTCCACAATTTCATTTTGTCAAGTGTCTTTCAAAAAAAAAAAATGGATGTCCCAAAGGGATTGCGGATCACACACTCATGGCAAATTGTTGCTATGCCTTGGCTGACATTTTCACAGAAATACAAAAAAAATAGCAAAAAAAATTGGCCAACAAAAATAAAAGAAAAGTGCACAGTTCGAAATCGAAGTGGTATTTTCAATCTCAATATATATCTCAGAGATTCCAATGCGAATTCACCGATGCGATGCGATGGGACGGACCCCACTATATATGAACTCTGAACGAAGCGCGCACGTCCGCGGTGCACGGCCCGAAATTGCAAAATGAGCGCCGGGCGGACGTGGTGGCCCGATCTTGTTGCCTTTGCTGGCTTCTGGGCGCTCGCTCTCTCTCGCTCTTATTTTGTTTATTTGTGCTCTCGCAATGGCACACGCACTCCCACCCTCCCCACCGTTGGCAGCCGACAACCACCAAGGCGCATACTCGACTCTCCAAGAATTTGTGGGCGCCGTACAGTGGGCTCTATAAGAGAAGAGATCTATGTCCTCTTTAGGATCTTTAGTAAATGATTAAAGAAAATTAATATATATTCAATATTATATATATTCTAAAATATTCTTTTTAAAATTTAAAAAACTATAAATTAGACCATTTTAACTAATCTATTTTAATTGATAAAATTTGAACGTATTTTTAAGCAGTTTAAACCCCAACTAGCTCCACTGTAAACCGCTCTCCTTATGCTGACTCACACACTCACTCACTGGAGGAGCATCATACGCATAAGTGGAGCACTTTTTGGGGAGTTTTCGGGAAGCCGCAAAGAGAGCAAGCAGAGCGGCTTGCATGAGAGCCACCCATTGGTATGGGAGCACTCAAATCAGTGGCACTCCACTCCACTCAAGCGCATCATTATGAGCCGCTGATGAGCCACAGGCATGACAATCATATCAGCTGGTGCAGTAACGCAACCCGGATTTGGATACGGCCTAGGACTATGGGAATGGGATTGGCCCCTGACCCCAAAATGGCCGAATAGCCAAAATGTGCTCGACTGGTGTCGCGAAAATTGCTAATTAGTCACGAAAAGCGCGGTGGCGGCTGCTCAAAATGGTCAACAAAAAAATAAAAAAAATGCAGAAAAAAAAAACAGGACAAACAAAAAACGTAAAGAACCAAATTGGCAACACGCAAGCCAACAAGGAGGAACATCTGCTAATGAGCAGGCAGCAGCTGTTAACAAAATAAGTTACAAGCCAAAATAATAGTATTTAATATAATTATCATATTTATGATTTCAGACAGAAAAGAAACGAATTTAAAAAGCATTAAGTATTATTTAAGATTTCCCTCCAAATAAACAATAAAATAGGTAAAAAATGTTGTTTATTTTAAAATTCTTGGACTTCCATCCAAAATCAATCAATTTACCAAAAAAGTAAATATTTTCTGATATTTAAAAAAACAGATTCCTGAAAAAGGGCATTGACATGATTTCCGATTATAATTACAAACAATTTTTTTTTCCCCCTGATAGCTACCCCCCCTTTTTAATTACAAAAGTACAAATGTGTGGCCACCTTGACTCATCCGTAATACTTTGTAAATCCCTGTAGTATATTCCATTTTTAAAAATCCTACTATATATACATATATATTTTATTTTTATGCGATTCCCTCTTCCGTGTTAAATGCTTTTTGTTCGGCTGGGATGGGGGACTTGGGGGTCTTAATGTCTTTAATGACCTCGCCTAATGACCGAAGCTGATTGATTCAACAGAATATAGACAGCGTCTTAGGCACTTTCCAAGTTTGTCTGATTCATTTTTAGAAGGCCTTTCCTTCCCTTCCGAATTCCCAGCCCAAAAGGTGTCAACAGCAGACACTGAAAGAAATTATGGAGAGGAGGACCAAAAGTGGTTCTCTTTTGGAAAAATATATTTAATAATTTTTATTGCATATATTTAGGCTTAGAATAGTAAAAAGCAAGAAAGTGATAAGATTATAATTTGTTAAAATAATAAATAGAACATAATTATATTTCTTTGCATATTTTTAGAGCAAGAAAATAAAATTTTAGATAGCTAGAAAATATTCAAAATATTTAATATTTCAAAAGGATTTTTGTAATTTAAATATAAGAGTCTTCCCTTTCCTCTCCCGAAATATTCAATTTCTAACCAATGTCTTTAAAATATTTTCTATATATTTTTATAATTTTGAAACCACTGTTCTTATAATATTTCTAACCCCATTTCCTCTATTTACACTCAAGTATATTTTAACTGTTACTCGTAATCCCCCAACATAGTAGATAAAGAAAAAAACTCTTCCCGAGAAAGAAACATCATCAGAATCATTTGTGAAAGATTACTTAATGGATTTGTTTTGTGTTTAAAGAAGTAAAATGTTTGACCGAAAATTAAATATAATTTTGTTAATTTTTTGTGCCTGTTTGGCTATTTGTGATGGAGACTTAAGTGCCCACGATAATCCAGGAGATCCCAGAGCCACAAAACTACTGCCAAGTGCCTGCAGAAATGGTTCCTCACCTGCAGAGATTCGCTTACCTTTTGTGGACATAATAGTGAACTATGAATTCCCGATTTTTGTGCTCCGAGAACCGGAGGAGGATATACTGCTGCTGCTCCATGGCCCGGAGATATTCCGACTCCACGTGGCCGCCGGCGAGAGGCGTCTCTTGCCGCTCGGAAAGCTGGCGGGACGGGTGGGGGTCAGTAAAGCCCTCGGTGCGGAGTTGGTGTCCTGGCGGCAGTTCCTTCTACTGGCCATTGTTCTGGAGGATTCCCTGGAGGTTTACCAACTACCCAAGGAGCTACTCCTCTCCGAAGATCCTGCAAGTCTGCTGGTCTATGATCCTCTCCAGGAATTCTCTCTACCGGGCGGTTTTCTGCAACTGCATCTGGTGAAAGCTAGTGCGGATCAGGTCCTTCTCCTGGTGGCTTCAAATCTAACAAATACACAAAGCAAAGTGAGGTAAGAATGGATTTAAACCCAACTCAGGGGCCTTTCGAAGGGCTTCATGATTAAATCTAAGAAAATATACATTTTACATAAACATAAACATAAACATATACATAGCAATACATTTTGAAATAGATTGATTAAAAATCATTCTATGATTCGTTTAATCGGGTGGGAATTGACCAAGATATAGCCATCGGAAGGGGCTACATACCGAAATCCAGGATTTTGCAGGGGTCTCCCCACAAATTTTGGAAAAAAAATCTAAAAAATATTTTCTTCTCAGATTTTGATGCAGATTTGCGGGAAATCGATCCACAAATCGTTTAAGGTATTCCTCTTGAGAATCGGATGAGAATTGACTAAGATATAGACATCGGAAGGGGCATATACCGAAATTCAGGATTTTGCTGGGGTCTCCCCACGAATTTTGGGAAAAAATCCAAAAAATATTTTCTTCTCAGATTTTGATGCAGATTTGCGGGAAATCGATCCACAAATCGTTTAAGGTATTCCTCTTGAGAATCGGATGAGAATTGACCAAGATATAGCCATCGGAAGGGGCTACATACCGAAATCCAGGATTTTGCAGGGGTCTCCCCACAAATTTTGGAAAAAAATCCAAAAAATATTTTCTTCTCAGATTTTGATGCAGATTTGCGGGAAATCGATCCACAAATCGTTTAAGGTATTCCTCTTGAGAATCGGATGAGAATTGACCAAGATATAGACATCGGAAGGGGCATATACCGAGATTCAGGATTCAGGAGCATATACCCCACGAATTTTGGAAAAAAATCCAAAAAATATTTTCTTCTCAGATTTTTATGCAGATTTGCGGGAAATCGATCCACAAATCGTTAAAGGTATTCCTCTTAAGAATCGGATGAGAATTAACCAAGATATAGACATCGGAAGGGGCATATACCGAAATCCAGGATTTTGCAGGGGTCTCCCCACGAATTTTGGAAAAAAATCCAAAAAATATTTTCTCTTCAGATTTTGATGCAGATTTGCGGGAAATCGATCCACAAATCGTTCAAGGTATTTCTCTTGAGAATCGGATGAGAATTGACCAAGATATAGACATCGGAAGGGGTTACATACCGAAATCCAGGATTTTGCAGGGGTCTCCCCACAAATTTTATAAAAAAATCTAAAAAATATTTTTTTTGTCAGGTTTTGAAGCAGATTGATAGAGAATCGATCCACAAATTGTTTAAGGTATTCCTTTTAAGGATCGGGTAAAAATAAGCGAAGATATAGACATCATAAGGTGGGGAAAAAAATATAATAAAATCTCTGTTTGAGTCCTTTTCTCCAAATATTGTGAAAATCAAGTAAATGTAGTTGTATATTTTTAAGAATCCTTCTCAAAAAAATACTTCCAGAACCTTTGAGTGGCTGGAAACATACTTTAATCCCCTAGAGGAGATGACTCTACCGGCCATTAGAGTTCTTCAAGTTGTAGGCCGCCAACCCATTTACTTTATTTTTGGACGTTCCCTGAAAGGATCTCAATCAAAGGTCAGTAAAAATCAGCTAAAATGGTATTATTATATAATCAATATTTTCCTTTTAGCTAGTGCTCACTGTCTACGAGCTGGACAGGAGTAGCTTGCGTTTACAGATTCGTCAGGCTCTGACCGTTCAAGGACCAAATGTCCAGGCTGTGAGATTTCACAACCGGAACTGCCTTTTGGCCTGCACTTCTGCCACATCAGATCCGTGCATATTTTTCCGTATGTTGGATGGCCAGTTTGTGGTTTACCGGAAACACACTCGCCGGGATCTACACTTCGGCCGGGTGGCAGCCACCAAAAGGGGACAACTTCTGATCGGAGCCCGCTCCAATGGAGAGGTTTTGGTTTTCGGTTCCACACGCCTGGATTGTTTCAGTGGATTTGTTGTGGCCGGAAGGGAAGAGCAGCTGGTAGAGCCAAATAGTATCCTGACCCATAGGAATGTCCGGAATGAGACCTTTTTGCTGTTGGCTTACCGGAAATCTTTGAGCGCCGTCATCCGGACTTTGCAATTGGTTGGAGTGGAGGAGGTATCCTCGAATCAAGTGGGAGCCACACCCGATGAAGGTGAGACTGCCTAGAGAGACTTAGTATAGATCTCAGTTTATATCCCGTTCCTTTTTAGATCTCAGTGTAGTCCAACTCCATCGCCATGAGTTTGAAGCGACCATCAATGGATTGCGTGGCCTGTTGCTCCGCCGTCGATCCTCTCTGGAAAAGCTAAGACATTTGGTTACGTCCTTGCAACAAAAGTCGGGTATTCAATTGGAGAAACCTCTCCATCTGCTGCCAGGTGGAAGAATCGATAGACTTCAACTGGTGGGAAAACATCTACGAACTCCCAGCCAACTAAAACAGCGCCTGGAGGAGCTGCTTCACCGATTTCTTGGTAATCATCCGCGGAGGAACCCAAGATCCTTTGGGACTGGGAGTGACGATGATGAGCTTCTAAAAATAAAACGTTTACGAGTGGGTAACCTTGTCTATCAGGGACAACTATTACCAGGTAAGCTTTAAAACTAATTCTTTAAAATTAAAAATATAAAAATTTCTTTTTTTTTAAAGGCTACACCTTGGACTCTAATAGTCCACCACTTTTGACCATCCGGCAGGGCACTGTTTTAACCAAATCCTTGCAAACAAATGAGCTGCTTACTCCCAAGGACAGTGAGAATAAGACCCTTGAAGAAATTCAATCCCCCAACCATCAAGAGTGTGTGGTTCGTCATCTCCATGTTTCTAAAATAAATGGAGTGTCTTGGGACTCTTTCCTGGACTCGCTATTCCTGCGAAGTCGCGACACAAGACTTCAAGGCCGTCTGGTCCTGCAGTCCAGGACACGAGTGTCCAGTCTACAGACCCGTCTTCTCAATGGTCTGGTGGTGGATCAGCTTTTTAACCTAAGAAGAGCTCAGGTGATCAGTTCCAATATTTTTATGTCTGCATTTTTTGCTCCACGATTGGAGGCAAAGAGTGTGAATAATCTGGACTTTGCCAAGGATATTGTTTTTCGGGGTGATAATGATACTTGGATTAAAAGTAAGTATTGTACTATATACTAGACATTTTTTGGAGTTTGGGTATATAATATAGTTACTATAGGTATTAGGGTTTATCAGATATAACAATTTTTATAAATTAGATTTCATTCAAAAAACTTAAAACCTATTCGTCTGCATGAGTTTATTTTTAAGGGTAGTCTTTTTTAAACTATTTTGAAATATTTTTATTAGTTTTCAATAATTTTTTAATAATATTTATAACATATTTCACCTACAGCCCCTGTCCGCATCGATCAAATGAGCGTTTCTGGTGAGTTCCAAGTTGCAAACCAAAAACCTCAAGCTCGTCAGTCCGTGAACGATGTCCTGCAGCAATACTATACAGGAAGGATAACAATTCAAGGTTCCTTGACAGTAAGAAATGTATTGAAGGATACACAAAATGCAGCTATAATGCTGGGCAATCAATCATTAAGCAAAAGTGATCTAAATAACCAATATTTATTGCAAAATAAACCTCAGGTGAGTTATGACCTTAAAGTTTTAATATAATTGCTATATTTTCTCCCATCCTCCCTCAGAATATAACCCTGTTGTCTTTTGGAAATGCCAAAGTCACAGTTCCTTCGTTGACAACCGATTATATAAAAGGACATCCTTTGGAAGAACATCTCTTGAGTGGCGGACAGGATATAGCTTCCCATTCCCATAATCATACTTTGCATTTGATATTCATGAATGCCAGTGTTCAGGGTGATATTATTTGTAGGGATTATAGTTCCCGTTTGGCCGAGATAGCCAAGGATGCAGTTCCTCTGGGTCAGGAGACGAATATCACAGGTTTTAAACGTTTCAAGGCTCCTCTGATTGTCCAGGACCTGGAAACCAAACAGATAAATGGTGTTCCTGTCTCCGATTTGGTTTTAAAGAATAATCCTAATCAAAACTTCACGGGATTTAAGGTCTATGATAGCTTAGTCATCACAGATGATCTTGAAGTGCAAAAGGACTTGAATGTAAAGCGTTTGAATGGCCTGCCTTTGGAGCAACTTCTGGGTCACGATCTCAGCCTGCAGCGTTTGGAGCTCGTGGATACCCCGTACTTGGAAAAGCTACACTTCCGTCGCTTGAATGGCTTACCTTTTGATGAATTACTTTCTAAAATTTCCGAAACAGAGGAGGATCAAAGGCTACTTCTTCACAAGCAATTGCTTTTAGAAGGAAATGTTCGTTTTGAAAAGCCCCTCCAAGTAAAGGATATAAATGGCATTCCATGGGAGGATTATCTGAAACGTCTGGTCCGTTCTGATGTTAATTCGGAGTTGAAAGGACGAAAGACTTTCCTGTCCGATGTCCTACTAACAGATAATCTAAAAACCCCTTTGATTAATAACTTTGATTTGAGTTCTCTGCTGGATAATACTCTGCTGAGGACTACGCCCCAGGAAATCGGAGGTTTCTATAGCTTTGGGTCTTTAAGAGTTTCCAACTTGGATGTCAAGAGGGTTAATAATGTAAGCCACGAAGAGTTTCTGGACTTGCGTAAGGATCAGGTTTTAAAAGGTGACCTTTACCTCAAAGAACTCTCCCTCAAAGGAGGTCTTAAATGTCCCGAAATGAGCAACCAACCAGATCTTAGTAATCTTCCAGAGCGTTTGGAGAAAGTGCGTCAGCTTCCCTGGAGGAATCTGTTTGTCACTGGGAATGCTCTCTGGCCAGAAAGTAATAATCAGGATCTGGAGCAACTGGAATATTTGAGAAAACACGCCGTACGAAAGGATCATAATCAGACAATAACAGGGCATGTCCTTCTAAGAAAACCTTCCATTAAAGTGTTACAAACTCAAGGAAATCTTTTACAAGATTTTGATTTAAAGTCTTTAAAAGAAGATGCTCTATTACGTAGAACTGAGGACAATAAGCCCCAAATAATAACAGCTCCTGTAGAATTTCTTGGCCCCCTTAAGGCACTAACTCTTAAACTAAACAATGACTCCTATTTTGGACATTTAAATGGTATAGATATTCCCAGACTTAATGCCTCTCTCTACCGTCTATCCAGTAACCAAAGTATATCCGCTGATCTTAACTTTCTCAAGACCCCAAAGTTTGGAAATCTTGAACTCAAAGATCCCCAAGTTAATGGAATAAAGATACAGGATATTTATCAGCAAAACAAAGGTCTAACCTGGCCGAGGATAACACTGAAAAATCTCACAGTTCAAGGGGATCTAAAACTAGGAAGTGTGAATACTATGAGTATGGAGTACTTTCTAGATAATCGTATAACCCTCAGAGGTCCAGCCCTGGAAGTATTTGGTAACTTGAACTTTGAGAATCTCCAACTAGGAGAAAGACCCCTTTTACGTTCTATAAATAACATTCAACTGGAGAATCTGGTATTACAAAATAGTAACAAAGTACAAACAATTTCCGGAGTAAAGACCTTCCATGGTGGACTGGAATGGAATGGACCAGGTCATGTCATGAATCTAAATGGCAAGGACTTGAGTGAAAGTTATAGAGGAAGTATCTTCAAGGATAAGGACTACAACATAGATAGCCTTGTCTTAGAAAAAGCTCTATTCCCGGGAGGAACTAATCAAAAAGCTAGGGTAATGGAACCATTAACAGAAGATAGAAGTCCCCTCGAGGAACTACAAGGGGTCCTGGCTCTAAAAAATCAAACCACAAGCCATGATTTACTGTATCTGGATCACGATCTTCAACCTTTGGAGGTTATTTGGATGAAGACTCCTTTGAAAGGATCCCCACACTTGATTCTACCTCTGCCTAAGGACACAAATCCTTGCCAGCGGCGTATGTTGCAGGCCCAACTATTGTCCTCCCAGCAAAAGGTCCTTCTGGCCAACGTGAGTGTCTCACATCGACTTTTGCGGATAAAATCCGGTGACATCAGGGTCAAGGTGCAGAACCATTGTCCTGTGAGGCGGTTGAGAAGCAGGATCAGCTTCTCTTGTCGCAACGAATCGCACATCCTGGGAATGCGACAGCCAGTGGAGGTGATGGATCTTCTAAATCTCAAGAACCTGGATCCGGATGTGTCCCTGCTTCTGTTGGGAACTGAAAAGGAGGTGCGTGTCCTGCGTTTGAATCGTGGAAGCTGCCGAATCGAAGACTGGCAGTCGGTCACTCCGGCCGATGGTCGTCTCATGAAAATCGTGAGCCTGCAGGACGAGGATCTGCTCATCACCAGCGGCGTAAAGAGTCATCGCTCCGTCCTGGCCATTCATGCAAGAAGCCCCTCGGAGCAGCAATTCCACCAGCTTCAGCTCATCTACGGTGGCTACGATCTGGCCGAGATTATGGCGGAGCAGTTGCTGGCCAGTTGCCTGGGTTGCCGGCACATCGCCATCTACAGAAGGAACAGCTCTCGGGTCTTTGAGCCCCTCCAGCAGTTGAGTTTCCAGGAGCGGATTCAGCAGCTCACCCCCTTCTGGATTAACGATGTCCAGTACTTGTTGGTGATTACCCAGCCAGGAGCGGAGCACTTCTACCTCTTCACTTTCGGTCCAGTTGGCGGTTGGCAGCAGAAGACTTTCGGGTACAAGAAGCAACATCAGTGGGCGTGGCCTCTGATCACGGCGGGCGAGAAGCTAGTGGGCCAGGATGTGGCCATAATGCTATTGTGTGGCCAAAACGAACAAGAGTGTAGTTTGGTGAAGGCCATCCTGAGATAATTGTTTGTTTTCTGTTAATTTGTTGTTAATTTTGTATTTAAATTAGTTGCTAGATTGTTATATTTGTATTATTATTGTTTACTTTTCTTAAATAATTATGAATTATTAAACTCAAATTATGAAATTTCTTGATATTAATTTAAGTTTATAACCTTTTCTTATAATTTCTAAAAAAAAAAAACCTTAAAAACTACCTAATCTCGGCAAATGTTTCTAATTGGCTTGAGATTATCACAATTAGGCATCTTACTTGGCTAAAACCCCACAAGAACCCCCTTGAAAGCCCCCCTCTCTTAGGCGGACAAAGTCTTCCTGCTGACCATGAGGACATAGCCAGTAAACACGAGAAAACCCAGTGCCCCCCAAACGGAACTATTCTGATTACTGCCATCTCCGATGTTGGCAAGAATCCAGTTCACATGGCTGGCCACATCCTCGAAGCCCCCATCGAGGCTTCTCAGTCCCAGCAGGCGATCTCTCTCCGTCAGAGTGGCTCCGGCATCCATGTACAGGGACGGAGCCCCTCCCGTGGCCTCCGTCTGGACGCAGATCCTCTTCGGCGATCCCGCCGTATTCGGGCAGACAGTGTGTGTGGCATTCAGGGTCACCAGGTCATGGAGTTCCCGGATCTGAGAGTCGTAACCCCAGGTGCTTATCTGAAGCAGGGACTGTGAAGCATCCGAGGAGTCCAGGACAGAAGTCTCGCCGGGCGAGGGCAGGCCCACGGGCTGGATAAGAGGATGATCCTGTGGGACATCCTTCTCCAGCATCAGTATAGCTAAGGCCAGGTCTTGGGGTGGCTGGTAAATGTGGGTGACCCCGACAACTAGTCCCTGCTCGTTAGGAGCAAATCTTTGTGGATTTCCCAGCATTACCCGAAGCTCCGAAGGATGATAGTAGTTTCTTTTATTTTGACTGAAAAAATATTTAAAATATTATTAATTTAAGTTACGAATTTTTAAAAATACTAACTCACCTAAAAATACAACTTCCAACGGTAAGGACAACGGAGGGCGCCACCAAAGCACCTGAGCAGATGTGGCCCTTGCCGAAGTAGAGCCGCTCCTGGGCCGCTAGACGTATGGAGGCCTGATAGGGGGCGCTCATTTTCGTATCCCCGAAGGCATGGTCATTGGAGATAGCCTCCATTTCGGCCAGGCTAATACCACGCTGAGCAGCCAAGTCGCGTTGGGTAAAAGCTAAAAAAAAACAACGAAAAATATATATAGAATAGCTGATAAAGATCAATAATGGATTCCCCCTGGAAACAGGCAGTCTCCGAGTCACGGAGTGCAACAACCTTATCGCAATCAACACCTAACGGCGTGGTCAGAACCCCACGATCACCACCTAGCGATATCGGTTCCCACATATTCATAGTGCACAAGCTCCGGATCCAGAATATATATACAAATATATATATATTTTAACACCTGAAACTGATCAGGCCACCGTCTGTTTCCAACGTGATTATTAAGATATGATAGCCAGTTTAGAATCCACGCCGAAAAAATAAATAAAAAAAATTAGAAACAAATAATCCCCCAATCATGCCGGAAGTTTCAGTCGAGTGGCTAGAGTTTCCACCGATCACGCGATATATATACATATAATGCCAATTGGCCAATTGATCAATTGGGAGTGACGCACTTTTTGCGGCGACAAACAATTCGGATAATCAAGGGATTATAAATAATTCAGCAGAAAGTACAGTGGGCCGGAGAAGTAAGATAGTAGAGAGATTATTTATATTTCTTCGGAATATCATTTCAATTTCCTAAGCCAAACATCCATATAAAGCCTCATTATAAATAAATACCAAAAGTAAACAAATATTTCAAACAAAAAACAATACAACAGAGCTCTTAAACACAATCTTCAAGTTCAAATGTCAACCAACTTTTATCAATTTCAATAAAAAAAACAAAATATTGCCAATCTAATTTTAGAAAAATTTGCACGAGCACACTTTTAAAAATACAAATTAAATCATTAAATATTTTAGCAATCAGTTGATCTGTCAAGGCCATAAAAATCTCTTTAAACAAAAATTTAACGAGAACTTGGAGGTCATTGGTCAAGTCGTAAAATATTTCACTTACTCACGGATAATTGTACATTTTTTAATCACACACTTTAAGGGAGGTGTGACCTACAAGTATGTAATTTACTTTCATAATAGTTAAGGCTTTTGTGGCTTACGTCAGTTTTAAAAAATATGTCATTTCATTTTTAGTTTATAACATTTAAAGTACAAACTCAAGAGGTCGAGTAACTAAACGGAAATTCTTAAATAACTCTTGAGGGTTTTGGTCGAGGGTTTTAATCTTAAGTTAATAAATAATTTAACAAATGGAATGTTAGTGTTATGTGAAGAATAAGTATATGAAATATTAAGTTTATTCCTGTTTTATTGTAATAATAACTAAGTATTTTAGAAGGCCCTGGATATTTTATATTTCGCAGCATGTTTGTTACTTTCTCTGTTAATTAATTTTCAAATAACTTTTTCCTCTAAATATTAAATATTTGTATATATTTTAAATATTAAAGAACTTACTTGTTTGCATTTCCGTGCAAAGAAAAGCAAAAATAAATATTTTCACAATCTTGCGCCAATGATCGTTGAGTTGCATTTTCTTGGATTTTTAACACAGAATTCACAATTTAAAAAAAATATATATTAAACCCTTAGCAGTTCCTTGTAAAACTTTTACTTAACAATATTTGACGGTTTATGGATTTTTGTAAGTATTTTGTTGAGGTCTGACTTTAACGATCACCTGTCGTGAGCTCCGTCGAACGTTGAATGAAGAAATTGCGGCGCGAGCTTCTTTCCTAAATCGAACAAAACGCAAATTCGCAAAAAGCGTTCTTAGATAATTCCATAATTTTTGTTTTGGTTGAGTGAGTTCTGATTCTCGTCTGTGTTGTTGATAAAGCAACAGCAACATACGATCCATACGATCTATATACACATATAGAACCGAAGCCGAATCAAAATCGTATCCGATCGGTTCGAATCGAATCGAATAATAAACAAACATATAGCAAATGCTCGGTTGATAAGGAAACTTTCTCAGCAATCGATCATCAATTTACTTATTTCATTTCTAGCTTATTTATGGTTTGTTGTTTTGGTTTTTTTTTTTACATTTTTGTATATGTTTTCTTTTCGATTATCTGAAAAATCGGTCTAATTTTGTCCTAATGGGCCAAGTCATCGTTAAGCATAAAAACCTTCTATCGGGTTTCGAGCTTTATTGCTAAAATACTTTCTGGGAATACCTCATATTGTTGATGGTAAGATAAGAATAGTTATTACAAAGAACTAAAGCACTGAGAGAAATATTCGATTACAAATTTTAATAAATAAAATAATTAAAATCAAAATGAATAGATAGAAAATATGTATATTGTCAGGACTTTTATATTAATTTTCAATCCACAGTAGATGTACCTTTATGTTTCTGAAATTGCATAGTTTTGCATAATCAATAGTTTATAATACTTAATAATTTATTATTCATTTTTAAAAGTGTCTCTCATATATAAAAACAAATCTTTCTAATCAATCTAAATCGGACAGCAGATCGCAAAAATAAATTCTTTCTAAAAGATTAAAATCGTTTCTATACTTTCCGGTGCAATTTCTGATTTCTGGCTTATAGATTATTTCTGACCAGGTTGAGGACCTTGAAATGAAATAACTACTATAGTGCCAATCGTAATCTAGGCAGACAGACAAAAAGAAACTATTATAGAAGTGCACTCGATTGCACCTGTTTCGACTCCTTGACCTTGTCTGCTAGTTTTTTCCCATTTTATGGTCTATACCAGTTTTTTGACGGATGGCATATCGGTTATAGATGATATAGCTATTCCCGTCATGGACATCGTCTGCTGCCATATAGATTAGCCATATCTGAGAGCCATATCGGTTCTTCATTCATTGGACTTCGAAAATCAAGTTAATTTTCTGCGCCGTAAACTATTTTTAGTTAACTAACTGGAAGCCAAAGTCAGGCGATAATTGGCAATAATTGATAATAGTTTTTAAGATTTATAAAGTAGAATTTAAGGGTGCTCTTTGATCGCCAAAAAGTAGGCTACTTTTTTATGAGTTTTTATTTTCAAAATGGCGTTTTACGCGGCCATTTTTTATCTGAAAGGGGTAGTTACTATTCAAATTATAAAATATCAAAGATATTATGAATAGAAATAAATATAATACTTTCTTATTTAAGACCCTCTTTCTCTTCAAGAAATATCAATTATTTTAAATATTATTTACATAAATTTTATTTTAATAAAAAAAAATCAGTTTCCATTAACTTATGTATATATTAAGCGTTTTGTTTATTTAATAAAGCATTAATCTCAGAGAAACAAAGCTGGGAAGAATGAGGCTGAAACTGGAGGCTAAAATGCCCATGGAACCGCCACCACCACCATTATCATCCCCATTATCATCTCCATTATCCTCTCCATTGGGATCTTCGCCCATAGTCTCCAGGATCCAGTCGTAGTAGTACGAGACCTCCGTGTAGACTCCCGGCAACTTGGGCAGAGCACAGTTGATGCCCCAGGAGACGACTCCAGCCAGCTTGCTTTGGCACACCAGCGGTCCTCCAGAGTCTCCCGAGCAGGCATCCTGCTCGCCCTTCTCCAGGTAACCGGCACACATCATTCCGGGCAGGATTAGGGCGCCCAGGTCACTGTCGTTGACGCACCTTTGCTCCCCAATAATCGGCACATCGACGGTCATCAGGTAATCGGAGTTATAGCCCTGCTCCGTGAGTCCCCAGCCAGTCACCTGGCATACAACTCCATCCACAAGCTCGTTCCGGGTCAAAGCAATCGGTCGGATAGTGGGATGATCCGTTGGCACTGACGCATTCAATCGCAGAAGGGCAATATCCTTGTCATAGGTGGCCAGGACGAACTTTTCGAGGAGCATGAACCGCTCGGCAATCGTAAAGGTTAGGGCATTAGTGGCATTAAACCGATCCAGGTTTCCCATCACCACAATGAATTCGGCAATGGGCACAAAAGTTCCATCGTAGATTACTTGGCTAAAAAAAATGGTATAAGATTAATACAATTGAATTTAAACTTTAAGTAAATAATTGTTTAAAAAACTATGTCACTTGGAGGAAATAAAACTCCGAGATTATTTTTATTATCAAGCCCATAAATACGTGATATTTACAATTGTAAGTAGCGATAAGTTAGTACTTCTTTTGTAAACTACTTCTGGGTAAGTAATGCTTACTTTTTGGTTTACTTTCAAGTTTAAGTAATTGAAAAATATTATATAATTTTGTTCTTAAGTTTGTTTTATAATTTTTATAATTATTTATGGAGAAAACTAAAAAAAAACACCAAATCACTCAAATAGATACTGGTGATTACGTATACGACACGTTGCTTCTTTTAATCAGTTTATGAGGAAAGGTATATTATACTATGATTTATGGAACTATATTTAAAAGCACTGTAAAAAGCTTTAAAATGCTTCAAGTAATCTAGGAACTTGTTTTACACTTTTACACTGTTGTCTTGTTATTTTCACTGTTTAAGAAATATTTCTTAAAAAGGCACTTGAAAAAAATATTTAAAAAATGGAAGAAATAATCCTTTATCCCTCACTTACTCCACAAAACAATGGGCAGCGGAAAGAACAAAGTTTGGCCTGATGAGGGAACCGCCGCAAAGGTGACCCGTTCCATAGAAATAGCCATCGTTCAAGGCCCTCCGGATGCCAACCTGGTGTCTGGTGGCGTCCAAGGTGGCCAGAGTGCCATTGATTATCCTGCCAGGATCCTCATTAAAACGAGGGCGTATAGAACTTGTAGAGTTAACAGCTGTCGCAGTGGGAAGTGCCTTCGAAGCCGTAAAAAATACGGAAAATAAAAGGAAAACTCCCGCCAACAAATGAAAAGAAGGCATCTTTTTTAAAATATATTTTTTTTTTAGATGCTAACTCCTTAACGTGGCAGTGGCAACTGAAATGCAGAAGCCGGAATCGAAATTGGCAAGACGATGGCCCATCAGTCGGCATTATCTTGGCCAAATAAATCTGGACGGACATCGTAATCTAATCAATGGTTTCCAATCGTGTGTAGAACACACATGGGTGTGATTCTCTGACAAAGCTCTCAAGTGTTAACGATTTCATTTTGAATGGGCATTACCCAAAAAATATAATCTTTGGTTTTGCCACTATTTGGACAAAATAAAATAGATTTATGGTCTCGGCAGGGGAAATCCTATAACACATAATCCAATATCTTCAGGAATTCCGCAAGTCATAAAAAGATCGTTACTTTAGAATTATGTTGTAAATAAAAATCGAATATTCCCGTGAAATATTTTATCAAGGCCTTTGTCTATATTTTTCAATTAAATTTCACATCAATTCGTTTATCATTTGCAAACAGAATAAATGACAAACAAGATATTTAAACAAAACGAAACCATAATTAAATGAGATATGCCTCGAGGGTATCGACCATAGCGTTACTCATTCAGCCATTTTTACGACTTTTCAGTCAAAATTGTGTCAAATATATATGTGAGGACAATTTTTATTCAGGTTGGTGAAGAATTTATAACTGAATCGTTGAAGGTATACATCTCAGAAATCGGACGATATTTCGCAAAGATATAGACATGGAAAAATTGAGAACATGGAAATTGAGAATTTTGCAGGGGTCTCCCCACAAAAATTGGAAAAAAATTTAAAAAATATTTTGTTGTCAGGTTTTGATGCAGATTGGTGGCAAATCGATATACAAATCGATCAAGACACTTCGCTTGAGAATCGGATAGGAATCGGCAAAGATATAGCCACCGGAAGGGGTCGGATGTGGAAATCCAGGATTTTGCAGGGGTCTCCCCACAAAAATTGGAAAAAAATTTAAAAAATATTTTGTTGTCAGGTTTTGATGCAGATTGGTGGCAAATCGATATACAAATCGATCAAGACACTTCGCTTGAGAATCGGATAAGAATTGGCAAAGATATAGCCACCGGAAGGGGTCGGGTGTGGAAATTCAGGATTCTGCAGGGGTCTTCCCACAAAAATTGGAAAAAAATTTAAAAAATATTTTGTTGTCAGGTTTTGATGCATATTGGTGGCAAATCGATATACAAATCGATCAAGACACTCCGCTTGAGAATCGGATAAGAATTGGCAAAGATATAGCCACCGGAAGGGGTCGGATGTGGAAATCCAGGATTTTGCAGGGGTCTCCCCACAAAAATTGGAAAAAAATTTAAAAAATATTTTGTTGTCAGGTTTTGATGCAGATTGGTGGCAAATCGATATACAAATCGATCAAGACACTTCGCTTGAGAATCGGATAAGAATTGGCAAAGATATAGCCACCGGAAGGGGTCGGGTATGGAAATTCAGGATTCTGCAGGGGTCTTCCCACAAAAATTGGAAAAAAATTTAAAAAATATTTTGTTGTCAGGTTTTGATGCAGATTGGTGGCAAATCGATATACAAATCGATCAAGACACTTCGCTTGAGAATCGGATAAGAATTGGCAAAGATATAGCCACCGGAAGGGGTCGGGTATGGAAATTCAGGATTCTGCAGGGGTCTTCCCACAAAAATTGGAAAAAAATCTAAAAAATATTTTGTTGTCAGGTTTTGATGCAGATTGGTTGGAAATCGATATACAAATCGATTAAGGTACTCCGTTTAAGAATCGCATGGCAAATGCCAAAGTTATGAACATTGTTATAAACAATTATGAACTTCAATGAATCATAAAAGCTGAGAGGCTATGACCTCCGCACAATGAAACCTCATAACTCAATGAACTGATGGAAACTATTTATATAAATATCTATAAAATACAAAAAAAAATCACCCTGTTGGTTTAGTTTTTAATTTACAAAGCAATCATCATAAAATTGACAAAACCAACAGATAGCAATTGAGTTTGCGATTGAAGTTTATTAATTTATTGATAGACTGGTAACATAATGGAACTAGGTAAGGCATGTAGACGTCATAAATGATAAAGGAATTTTTATTCATTCTCTTATGTATATGTATATTTTTTTAATGAGTTTTTTTAATAAAGTTTTCAATGAGGTTTTCTTTCTGATTTAAAGAATTGGTTCTATAAGACGCAAGACTTCCTGGAACTGTGAATTACTACCATTTCCCTTAATACTTATCTATCATATATTTTATTTATTTTTTTAGGACCACTGTCATTCAATAGTGTCTTCAATCAGTGTCAATAACAACATTATTTTTCAATGCAATCTACAAGTGAATAGCACCTGTTCCGCCGTCTAAGATTAGATAAATCCATTGTGGCAACCGACAGAAGCCAATGATTAACTCTACAGGCCATTGAATAGTTTCCACAGGATCGTTAGGCTGGTCACCAGCAACCAGAAGGCAGGACATGTCCAGAAACAGGTTCCACAGTTATGAATGGACCGATCCCCGTAATCGGAGTAGTCCAGTGAGGAATTGGCGATACGGATCCAGTCAAGAAAATGTGTGACATTCGTATAAACACCCGGATAGCCGGGATCCGCACAACCGACGCCCCACGAGATGATTCCGGCTAGCCGGCCAGAGCAGACGAGCGGTCCTCCAGAGTCACCCTGGCAGGCATCGATACCGCCCTGCAGGAATCCGGCACACAACTGCGACTCCGGCAGCTTGTAGATAATATTGCAGAGGCTCTTCCTCAAGATGGGCACGGGGGCTTGTTGTAGCGTAGAGGATTTATCGTTCTGCTAAGGATCTATTACAACTTTTCCATAAATCCAAGAATATCTCAACAAAACTCACCGCATTGATCTTGCCCCAGCCGTGAATGAGGCAGATGGTGCCCTCGACGGGCGATTCGGTAGCAAGTTCCAGAGCTCGGGCTCCCGGCGAATCCCAGGGTATATATCCGTCGATGAAGAGCAGAGCGATATCGTTCTCCAAGGTGCTGGAATTGTACTGCTTGTGACCCACAATCCGTCGCACCAGATACTCCGTGGTGAAGCGGTCCGTCTGATCGATGGCACTACTCCCGGCCACCACGACAAACAGTTCCGGTTCGCGGTACTCCAGCGGTAAACCAGTTGAATTTCTACAAAGATTAAGAGTTCATGATATATAAGGTATACCTGGAGAAGGTAATAGATCACCCACATGGCAAAACAATGAGCTGCCGAGCAGACAACCCGCTGGGAAATGATCGTTCCGCCGCATACATGTCCCATACCGTACTGTTTCTCGTGGATGGAACGCCGCCGTATGGATACCTGATAGGGCACCTGATTAATGGTCACCGCATAGCCTCCAACCACCTTTGGCTGGATGTAAAAGGACGACGATGACGATACACTGGACACATTAAGAGACACTTCCGTCTGACACGTGGCGGTCTCCATTTCTAGGATCAGGATCAGGGACAGCGACAGCAAGAGCAAGGGACGATGGTCCATCCCCAACGCCGATAGCTTGCTCTGCTGATAGTAGTCAGGACCCAAAAATAACAACAAAATTACAACAAAAAATTTGATGAATAAAATCCAGAAAATAAATTAATAGCCAGCTGCCTGAGTGTAGATCAATGATGAGTATTACGAGGATACAACAGGCTCAAAATAAACCAAAAACAGTCCTTAAGAAAATTTAAAATTAAATGATATTTTATTAAATTTTTTTACTAAAACCAATACTAAATTTTTATAAAAATTAAACAAAAAAAAATCATTTTATTTACTTAGTCTATAACCTAAGTTGAAGATCAGTTTTTTTGCGGCTTTTTCTTTTGGGAATCAAAGTCCCCTGGTCCATGCTGCCAGGACGATGGCCAAGACAATCAAAAGGATAGAACCAGTTCCTTGCCGTATTCCGGAATTACGAAAAACGGTATAGTCAAAGGAACTATTCTGCTGGATAATCCAATCGCGATAGAAGGTAATATTGGTATAGACACCGGGATAACCGGGCTGGGCGCAGCCATAGCCGTAGGACACCACACCGGCCAGGACACTTTTGCACACCAGTGGCCCACCGGAGTCACCCTGGCAGGCATCCACTCCGCCCTTCGTAAGGCCGGCACACACCTGGGAATCGGGTAGGGGCTGATAGGATAAAGCACAGACGTCATGAGCCACTATGGGCACCACAGCAGCTTGTAGGGCGTTACTGGTGCTGCTGGCACCCTAAAAAAAATTGACAAAATTATAATAAAATGTATCTCATGCTTTTAGTTTATAACTTACCTCCTCAAGTAAACCCCATCCGGCAATGTAACACCCAGTTCCCGCGACCAAAGCCGCTGAATTCAGATCCAAAGCCCTCACGCTAATAGCGCTCCAGGGAATGTATCCATTAATAAACATCAGAGCAATATCATTGGTCAGAGAATCATGATTGTAGGATGGATGAACGACCAACTGCTGGACGTAAAACTCCAGGGTATAATTAGGGTCCCGGGTCTTCAAATAGCTACTGCCCATAACAAGGAAGTATTCACCCGCCGTTCGATACTTTTTCGTATTAGAGCTGTTCATAAAAAATATGATATATTAAAATAATAAAAAAATATACATATATAATATATAATCTTACTTGTAAATGCAATGGGCTGCCGTGACCACCAAACGTTGGGATATTACACTGCCACCACACAAGTGCCCAGATCCGTAACTCTTTCGGTCCGTAGCCGTGAGCCTTATAGAGACCGTATACGCAAAACTAATAATGTCAACTGCCGTTCCACCCACTATTTTTGGTTCCATTTTGCTAGTTGTGGCATTTGTGGTCTCTGTTCCGATGGCTAAAGATATTTATAAAATTTAGAAAATATTTTATACCATTATATCTTTTGTAAATGGATTATAAATGGGCCAAGGTCATGGCCAGACTTTACAAAAACTATCACATTTATTAAACCTCTACCACAAAACCTATCAAAGTCGTATCTAAGCAATAATTTGTTATCACGGCCGGGTAGATAACCGGGCCTGTTTTTCTTTAGAAGAAGGTATTCCGGGCTTCCCCATCAAAGCACTTTATGGAAAAAATACTTAACACTAATTGATATATAGTATATAGGGTCTGTGCTTTAAAACTCTTCCATAAAAAAACAAAACAAAAAAAAAGTACAAAAAAAATAGTCATAAAAAATAGCAATCTAATCGAATGTCTTTTTTTTTTTTTGGTATGACACACCATGGAAAAAGAATTGGATAATTGGATGTTTAATTGGTTCTGCCATCAGGTGGAGGAATAGGTATAAAGAGTTGTTGAAGTATTGATCACATAAGCCACTATAATGTGACTAATTTTTAGTCATTTAGTGCAAGGAACTAGTTCTATTGGTCATGGTTTTGATGCAAGTACCGGGTATTTATAGTAAATATTTTAAAAACTAATATTTTTATCACAATTTAGACACAAAATTAATTTCACAATTTTTATAAATCATAATAGAGGTATTTTTGATTTTATATGAATTTTTAACAAAAAATAAAAAAAATAATAATTTTATCTTGTTTTTTTTTTTAGATACAACTATTAACCTTCACTTCTTTAACTTTTAACTTCCGATATTTCAAGTCCCCTCCCCAAAGATACCAAAGACTGGAAACCATAATCGTAATGACTCACTTGCTCCGGAGGTCAGAATAGCTCCAAGGAGCAATGCCAATGACACTAAAATCATTTTCTTTTTTTATAAAATAAGTAATAAAAAATAATATAAAAACTAAAGTGTAAAATAACGCGAATTTTTAGCAAAAAAAAAAAAAATCAAATAAAATCGACCGAATTTGATGAATTGAGGCACTGCAATGAGCCCATCTGTGGGACTAGTCGATATTATTGGCCCCGGGCCTGTGGGCCAGACTTATCTTATCGCTAACTGTGCGTAAATTGAATGTTGCCAAAGCCCCAAAGAGCCCCGATGCCTCGGCGGATCGCAAACGGGTGTCATAAAAGTAAACAAATGCCAAAATCAGAGCGAAATTCTCTTTTGATTTCGTATAGATTAGCCACTCCCACATGGCCAACACGCCCGCCACAGACCGCCGCCCATCCAGTTACTCTGATCTGATTTCCTGCCCACTGGGAACCCCCCCTTTAACAAAAAAAAAAGTCCCTAAATCATAAATTTAATTTGTTTGTCCTTTTTCCTTAGAAAAGTGATAAAAAAATAAAACCTATAACCTAATACCATGACTAATCGTGTCTGACTAATCAGACTCGGACATAGAATAGATAAAGAATAAAAGCTATAGCCTCTAAATCCCGATAAGACCTTTGTAGACACAGGAAATTTAATCCACACAATATATATGTTACGTATTGTATACTTTTATTATATTTATATTATATTCATTTAGTCATTAAGTTGCTTATTAATTCAAACATCACAGTTCTTTGGTCTAAAATATAGCCTCCCTGAGATTCTAGACAGAAATCACAAGCGATTACAAGACGACTATGAAACTATATTATTTATATCGGTGGGAAAATGTTAGAATTAATTATTACTGCGTTATTATTATCATATTCTTTGTTAGGTCTTTTGTTATTATCACATGGGTATCTTTGCCATCGAGGCAAGTATACAAAAAAAAATATATATATTTTAATAATATATGTATATAATGGCACTGGTGCTGGTCTTATTCGGCTGAAGTATTCTTTCCAATTATTTCCTTAGTAGCATTAAAAATGGCTTTAAGCTCCTCCAATTCCAACTCTTCACTATCGTGTTGACCGTTACCAGAGGCTGGTTCTGCCGGAGTCTCCTTATCCTTGTCAGTGTCCGACTCCTTCTTGATGAGAAAAGATGAGGAAGGAACCTCCGATCCAACGCCATTATTCTTCGACTTTTCGTCGACAACAGGTACTGTAGTCTCCCCATCCATGTCAGTGTCCGATGCCTTCATAATGGTTTCCTTCTTGATTAGAGAAGATGGGGAAGGACCCTCGGATCCAACGCCAATACTCTTCGACTTTTCGCCGACAACAGGTACTGCAGTCTCCCCATTCATGTCAGTGTCCGATGCCTTCATAATGGTTTCCTTCTTGATGAGAGAAGTTGTGGAAGGATCCTCGGATCCAACGCCAATACTCTTCGACTTTTCGCCGACAACAGGAGCCGGATCTAGCTTGCGCTCGTTAGCAAGAAAGTAATCATCTACGTCCTGCTCTTCAGAGCTTTGAGAACTCTGAAAAGTATGCTGCACCCGGCGCTCAACTACGCGGCGCTCCATATAGTTGGTGTTGCTCTCCTGAGCCTTGCGCTTCCTAAGAATTTTTCATCATAAGTATGTGATTAAATATCATTTAATTTCAAGAACGTACCTAAGCCTGGGAGTTAGCTTGGCGGGAGCACCGGAAGAGGAGTCCGTAGTTGAGGCAGAGTTACTACCCGAAGGGCTCGATGTATTCGACAAGATCATGGCGTTCTGAGCGCGTCTACTAGATGACGAACTAGATGACGAAGGCGACGAGACCACAGGACTAGGCAAAGGACTAGGCTTAACCATATGGAATTCATCAGCAAAATCATTATAACCATCCACATCGGCCATCAGTTGCTTGTACTGCTCCTTAAAGGCATCGTGCTGGAATGGTTTGGTCACCACAGTGGCTAAAGGAAAAGGGAAGTCATAGGATAAGGATTAGGTTAGGAGATTATTCTGTGTTTCAGGCAAAGGATAGGAGTTTCCAAAACTTACTGCGACGCAAGGAGAAGCCCTCGGCATGGTATTGAGCCAGTTCCTTGTCCTTGGCTTTTAGCAACTGTGTGGTTTCGTTCAACAAATCACGTAGACCATTCATGGTGTTAATGCTATCCGTAAGGATGAAATCATAGATCTGCAAATAAAAATGTTTTCAACTAGTATTCACTTGCCTAAAAAATATATATATATATTTTGAAACCAACCTTGTCTTTGGAACAGGCTCCCACGTGCCATTCCCACTTGAGGGTAGTCGGTGCATTCTTGACGGTATATCTCATGACCAGAATACGCTCATCAGCGGTGGCACCATCCTTGCATTCCATCACTGTGGCTCCTTCGCTGTCAAGCAGAACCTTGCGCACCGCGGCCTCGGGGAACTTGATGCGACTATTCAGTTTCTATATATATATGGGTTTGTACATTATTTTCCCTCGCTTATATTTGGATAGAAAAAATAATACTTACCCGGAGACGTTCTGTGAACTCGCTCTTGGTTATAGTTTCCGTATAAGTGCGATTTAGATTCATATCAAAAATATAGAAAGTCATGTCTCCTGGGTTGTCAGACACGCAGGTGATTGCCCACTTTTCTTCATTGAACTCACAAGTTTTAATGCGCATTTTTAGAGTTTTCTTTTTTTTATTCTGGAAGCACCAAGAAAAATTTAGCCGGTATGACACAAAGTTGCCAATTATTTTAAACCAGCTGTCATTTTAACGACGCTAGATCCAGGGTTGACTAGTTAGGTATATTTTATAGCTAGAATTTTCTAGCCAGACTGTTAGGGCACTGTTACACTGCTTGCTCGCGGAACTGCTTGCTGAAAATACTTGGCAGAAACCAGTTTATTTCAAGAAACTTACTTTAAATACTGAACCTAAAAGCTTAAAATAAATGTTTATAAAAAATATAATTGAAAAATATCAATAATAGCTTCTTAATGCCAAACAGTTTAACAGCATAAATGTTAAGCCCCTTTACAGTGGCAAGTACCCTGTTATCGAACCGCCAAAATTCAAATTTCTTTAATAGATATCATTTTATTTCAGTTTTAAACATATTTTTTGTATGTAATACATATTGTTTGTGTTCGTTTCCATTAGCTTATCAAAAAATTCACTTTATTTACTTGTTTTTAATATTATCGATTAACTAGATTTCATAGTTTTTTTTTGTTTTGTTTTTTAAATGTTGAATTTGCACTACAAAAAAGAATTCTTTTCGTATTTCATTCACATTGAATGCCAATTAATACCTCTCCGAAAACGATTAGTTTTTGTTTCTTTATAATTATATAGTTTCAATTAACTAATCCACGCGTGCGTTATGTTTACAATATATAGACGTATGTATTATTTTATATATATATTTATATAATTTTTTGTTTTTTTTTCTTGTTTTTTAATGTTAGTTTAAGATTCTAATATATAGAAGATCAGTTTGTAGTTGTAACACGAAGAAAACAACAAATCAAAGTGGGAATTTCTTCAGGAAAGTTTTTTTACGATAGCCTCGTTCTCAAAATCCGGGCTTAAGCTGTCTTTTTCTTTATCCAGATCCTTTGGGTTTATGTATTTCATAATTTTTAGTAGCTTTTTTGTTTTTTGTTGCTTTTTTTTTGTAAATCTTTAACTTAGCCTGTGGCGTCGTTTGAGATTTTTCGGCGATTTTTTTGAATTTGTGGCAATGTCGACGGTGGCTGGTCCTCATATCTGCGGCCGGGTCCACAGCTCGCTCAGATCCTTCTTCAGCTTGCCCAGCTCTGCAAATACGGATTCGTGACTTAACACTTTCAGTGAAAATATGCCAAAAGTCAGAACTCTATCCGGGGGAGTTACTTACCAAGTTGTGCTGGCAGAACGCCTCCATTGCGGAAACCCAAATCGAAGCGGGGCTGGACTCCTGCCAATTGTCCGGCAGTTGTAGATCCAGAATTCCTAAAGGCAGTGCCACTAAATTAGCAGGTAATTAGTTAATAATTAAATAGTATTTAAGGGGGCATGAGGGAACCTACCTATAGGGATGCTTGAGGCAGCCATAGACCTCTCGGTAGCGTCCGTACAGGGTTCCATAGGAGACGCCCAAAATGCGAGCTGCCTTTTTCATTTCGAGTCTTTTGTTTTTAATGGCATCGAGGACCTGAAAATAAAATAGGAGATTTGGGAGATGTTTGAGAATTAAATAATACAGAATTATATATGAAGGTAAGAGCAACCTGGCACTCTATCTTTGGAAATAGTTTCGATAACATGGTGTGAAACCCGGCTAAGATCCCCGGGGAGCTTAAAATATCCAGATTTACTTTTTTAAATAAATATTAAAAGTATTAGGCCCCAAAAACTCACCCTCTTAGTGAACGGCTCCTCCCAGAACTGCGGACGCCTGCCCTTCGCCAGATAGTCATCCATTTTGATGACATCCTGCCACTGGGTTAGCTCCTCGTTGGTGAGACGCAGTTCGGCGGCATCATAGTCCTCCAGCTTGATGTCTGGATAGTCGCTCAGGCCACTACCACCAGCCTCCTGGCCGCCACTAGGATTACCATTACCACTGGCGGCACTTGCCACCACAGCAGCCGCGGCGGCAACTGCCACAGCAGCGGTGGCAGCCGCAGCACTTGCCACATTTGGGCCAAACTCGTGGGCCATCAGCAGGCCGTGTTCGTTGATGAGATAGGAGGCTGGGGTACCCGATCCGACGGCGGCGGCTGCACTGCCTCCGGCTGTTCCGCCCGCCTCGTATTTGCAGGCAAAGCTGGCCGGGATGAGGCTGCCGGAACGCGGGGACTCTGCCCGATTGGCCACCAAGTGCTCGTTCTCTATCTCCTCCACGGGCTGTGGCAGATTTGCCTCGTCCGTCTCCTTCCCGCTCTCCCGCTCCTCCCTGTCTCTTTCACGTTCCCTCTCCGGGACCGGCTCCTCCGCCGGCTTCTCTCGCTCCCCGCCGTACAACCGCCTGGCGTGACGCAGCTTTCCGTGCCGCTCTCGCCGTTCGCTCATCTTCTCCAGCTTCCTGCCCAATGGCCTTACCTCCGTATCCGCATCATCGCCGCCACCGCCGGACAAATCGATTTCCGGCTTCTCATCGTTGGGTACTTTGGGTGTGGGACTACGACGTGTCTCTCCGGCTGACCATTCGTGGGTGACACCACCCGCTTCCTGCTCGCTGGAAGTTTCCGTTTGGAGGAGCTGTTGTTGCTGTTGCTGCTGTTGTTGTTGCTGTTGGTGGCGCAGCCGTTGGCGCTGTTTGGGCGGGCAGGCGGCGGGCGGGGAGGCCAGCGAAGTGGCGGCAGCAGCGACAGCGGCGGCGGCAGCGTGGGCGGTGACCAGCGGTGGCTCCTCAACGAAATGGCGAGCTGTCTCCAAATAGGCACGCTGGGCGGGCTCCAGGTTGGCAGCATACTGGGCCAGCTTGCGTCTGAAAGGCAAGAAAAAAGGTTATTTAATCACGGTCGCCATAAAGTCACGGTCGCCACACATTGGGCCCCAAAATGTAGGCAACAAAAAAGCTAAAATTCGAACCAAAACTCACACATTGAACACATCGTAGGCATCGTCTAGCGGCGGACGTCCACGCTTGCGTTTTGGTCCCAAATAATGCTCCACAGGAGCACTGCCCTCCAGGGATCCCGTGACTCCACCCGAGGGTCCTGCTGCTGCCGGATGTCCTGGCGTCATCACCGGCATCCTCCCCAGGACACTGTCCATGCCGGGCGATAAACGTTCACGTTCTCGCTCTCTCTCCCTCTCACGTTCTCTGTCTCTTTCGCGCTCTCTCTCCCTTTCTCTGTCCAACAAGGTGGAACTGTGGAGCTGCCCTGGTGGCGCAGCCTGCTGTTGCTGCTGCTGGAGGATTAGGTCCTGGGCATAGCTCTCGGCCAGGCTGCGCGGCGGTGAGTGGAATTCGGCGGCGGCCATGGGCGGTGGGGGGCCGTCCTCGTCGTCGCGCCAAGTGACCTCGGCCAGACCTTTGATCTTGAGGTCATCGGCGGTTTTTAAAAGTGAAGGGAGACTGGCCTACAAATAAAAAATAAAATAAAATAAGAAAAGAAGAGGAATATTTTATAATCTCCTCCCCCAACATACATGCTCCACATTGATCTCTCCCTTGTACATGAACTCGATGAGACACTTGACCTCGGCAAAGGTCACATCCTTCATGATGATGATCGGATCCCGTTCGCTGGCATAGTTGGAGAGGACCGTGTCGAAGAAGGTGCTGCAGGCGCAAAGGACGACGCGATGGGCGCGTATCAGTTGACCCTCACAGGCCAGGGTCACGTCGCAGAAACAGCCGCGATCCAGGAGCTGCGAGAACATGGTCTGTAGATTGCTGTGGTGGTACTTCCACCGGAGGCAGTACTGCTGCGGCAGCATGATGGCGCCGCGCTTGCTGCTGCCCCTGATGGTGGTAACTAAGTGGGGGTTCTACAATAAAAAAAAAATAAAATAAATAAATTAATTAATTAAATTTCATTAAAGAGTTATTTCATTTCATTAACTATCTAACTATAAGATACCCTATACTTTTCCACTCCTCCTCTTAATTATAGCATACTTTCGGGCTTAAATATGCCTTGTTATTACATCAAATTTTAATTTAAACAACTGCTTAACCATAAAGAGCAATTAAAAATGTAAATAAATCACTAAAATACTATAAAGCCTTAAAAAAAACGAGGCATTTTTATTTCCAATTTAAAAATGAAAGAATAAAAAAGCGTGTGGGAATATTTTGCAGAAATTACATTTTCTTTACAATGCTTTTCCGCTTAATATTGAAAAACAGTTGATTGGATTTTTTTGTGTTTTTTTATGTAGTTTTTTTTAAATTTTTTTCTCTTGGTCTTGTTCGATGAATTATATCCATTGATAAACTTGTTATCCCTTTGGAGTCCTGCCAGTATCTATGTGTTTGTGTGTAAATGTCAATCGGAGGATATAGAGCTTTTTTTATACAGTTATCTTTTTTATACCGTTAACTGTGTCCGTGTGTCTCTGTTGTTTTTCTTTCTTTTTTTTTTTAAGGTATTTTCGAATTAAATTCATCGCAATTTTTTTCAAACAATATAAATAATCGAAATACCCGCTTTATGCACCAAAATGTGAAGTGGCTAGTGATCGGCACACAAAAAAAGGGGGGTCTTTATATAAAAATGTATATATGTATATATATAAAAAAATAGTATTTTTTTCCTTTTAATACAATTCTTTATTCTGGATTCTCCAAAAGGGAGGCAAAGAGGATATATATTTTCGTTTTTTGCTAGCAAACCTGCAACAGCAGCTCCATAAAAATGTTCGTCCTCGTTTTCATTTTATTATTATTCCTCTACCACCCCCCGCCCCCACCCTCTTGGTACACATAAAAAATTTTCATAATTTTTTCCTTTTTCTTTTTCTGTTTTTGTTGCGCAAATATTATGCGCAAGGTAAAAACTTTATTTTGTTTGTAGCTGCCCCCACATCCTCCTACCCTTCATATGCACTTATATAATATATACATAGTACTATATAGTTACTACCTCCCAGAGCCACCAATCTGTCAATATACTTAAACACAAAGTATGGAAAAAAAAAAGAAATCTGGGGGGAAAAAAAGGAGAACTGAAAAGAGCAATTATAAAATCCCTTTTGTTGTCGATTTCCATCCAGATTCATCGTAAATTGTAAATCGACGTGACGAAAAAGCGAAATAAATTGATTTTCGTCTTTGTAGCCAACACACAGCCCCGAGTCGGGATGCAAAAAGATTATGTTGTATGTACTTTCCAATCCATGGCAACAAACCATGTAAAGTTCACAATTTAATAATTAAATTGTAATCGATAACTTTGGTCAGCGATAATCCTTAATCCTTATTCTTAAGGGAGTGGAATCTTTATTTTAATTGAATTATGAATGATTATAAAGCTTAAAGGTACTTAGGGTTTGAAAAAACATTTCTCGAAATTAAAAATGTATTATTCTTTGAAAACGCCCTCCTCCTCGATTCTCATGGGTGGCACATAAGCAGCGCCAATAAATGAATAAAAATATATTGACTTTTTTTTATAAAATATAAACAAAAAAATTAATTAAAAATAATAAAAAAGACAGCGCCCTCCTCCTCGATTCTCATTGGTAGCACTTAAGCAGTGCCAAAAAATGAATAAAAATATATTGACTTTTTTTCATAAAATATAAAAAATAAATTAATTAAAATGAATCAAAAAACAGCGCCCTCCTCCTCGATTCTCATAGGTGGCACTAAAGCGGCCTCAACAAAATGAAACCAAAGAGTTGCCTACATATACAATAAATTAACAGACACTAGTTAACCAAAACTAGTTAGCATACAAAATTAAGGATATAAGGATCTAATATTAAATACATATTCACAATATAATAACTAGCAAACATTAATCTTCACAAAGATGACTGCAATTTCAAAAAAAAAGGGTTTATATACACAGATAAAAAAAAACCATTAACTATAAATGAGATTAAGAAAGGACACCTTATGTAAACAGGTATTTATAACCTTATATGTATACATATATCTACAAAAAAAAAGGACGATAAAGATATGACCATGTAGAAGGTCCTTAACTCCTTTATTTCCCCCATCACTTTCTTGGGACCCTGTCCTCTACCACTTCCCGCCCTCCTCCGGCAATAAATTTTAAGAATTCCCCCAACAATTTTGTTACCCTTTTTTTTATACGTATATGGGCTAACAAATTTTTGGATTTTTTGTCGCTTAAAGTTGGGGTTTTTTTTTGGTGAAACGCATTCTTGCTTTTAGTACTAATATCACAGGACGAACCAGAAAAAAAAAACCATATAAAAAAGGGTAAAATCAAGAGAAAGGGTGGGGGGGTAAAAAGGATAAGAACTTTATGTTAGCTGCTTTTTATGTCCAGTGTACAAAATGGACACACCAACACACACACACACACAGGCACAAGAACAGTAAGGGATCAAAAAAAGGACCTAAAGTAGAAATGAGAAACTCCTGCTTGGGTCAAAATTCGCAGGACCAACCAAGAAAAAGAAGAAGCAGTGAGTTACTGTAAAAAAAAACACACACACAAACACAGACACACATACAGAGAGAAGAAAGAAGCTCGCGAAGTGAATGCGAAAAGCAAATTTCGTTTCACCTTTTTTCGAGCTACAAGAAATACCAAAGGAAAGTTTAAAAAACAAAACAACTGTAAAAAAAAAGCTGAGAAAGAAGAAGCAGAAGCAGAAGAACACATCGCTGGCAAATAAATTGCGCAAAAACCAAAGGGAAAGCAAAAAACTACAAGGGCCTGAAGAAAAAGTCTCAGAAAAACAGGACTTCTTTCAGTCAATATACATACATATATACTAAAAAGTATATTTTAGATATACAGCACATATACATACTATGTAGCTTTAAATATAACTATACTTTTCTTATATATCTATAGACTTTAGTTTATAATATAAGCTTTATATAGCGGATATACACTTCAGTTAGGAATTTAAGAGTTTGGGATACTTGAAAACTTTTTTTGGGACTTTGAAACAAGTTTTGGGATTTGTTTTCGTCTTAGTTTTAAGCTTAATTATTAGTATTTAGTATATACATACGTTGTTTTGAAATACAAACAATAACAGACTAACTATAACAAATATAGGATAATAATAACAAGCGAATATAATAAACATGAATAATAGTCTTTTCTACACTTTATGATACACAGAAACCACCTTTGAAATAGTAGACTCATATGAGTCGAGAAGGACTCTGTTTTTCTCAGGTAATATCCATTAATATATATTTTATTTTTGTTAAAAAGTCGATTTAATATTTTTTATTTCCATTTTTTGGAGCTGCTTAAGTGCCACCTATGAGAATCGAGGAGGAGGGCGGTGATTTTTATTCAAAAAAAATTAATTCGATTTTTTTTCCGAAAAAATAAAATAAAAATTAATTATTAAAAACAGCGCCCTCCTCCTCAATTCTCATAGGTGGCACTTAAGCAGCGTCAAAAATTAAAGACAAAAAATTTAAAGTGACTTTAATTTTTGCTTTTTATACATGCCGATAGCCCTAGCCTCAAAGTAAAAAAAACATTGCCTACTTTTAGGGCAGCCCAAAATAGAACTTGCAAAATGGCGACTTCCGTTTTCTTATCAACTCCCTTCTTGTAAGTATTTCTTGTTAATCAAACCCATTGATAAGAACCATATATAGAAGCTATCTTTACAACCCTTAAATATCCTTTAAAAACTAAACTTCTTGAGGGTGTACTGTCCGAAATAGTGGCATTACAATGTAAGAAGAAAAAAAAACCCAATGTCCGGCACTTCAAGGATTGGGATTTGAGTTCGGTTTCTGTTTCTCGAAATAATAGAAACTCTCACACACACAGCCATACATTGGCAAGAGCTAACTGTAAAGGGTTTTTGATCCCAATCTTTTTCCACTCACTCACACTCACACACATGCTAGCCCCCTTCCTCCTCACACACACACACACATACTCGAAGCCAAGCAAGAACCGTTACACATTTAAGTTCCTTAAAATAAAAAAAGTTACATAGAGAAAGAATGAAAGGGAGGCGGGGCTAGGGGGAGGGATGGCATAAAAAATACATGTTTTATTGTAGTATATTTTCCCGCCAAGCAGTCGCACACACACACACACAGATAAGTACTCACTTACTTGCACACACACAAACTCATTCTGACACACTCACTCATACTCACTCTCACACATATGAACCTCGAACCCGACTCAAACCCCCTACCACCCTACCTACCTCCCGCCCCCCCAAAAGCTGCACACTTCTTTTGGATTTTCTCATGGAAAATATTTTTCAGTTTTTATCACATTTTTCTTCTTCTTTGGATTTCGTTGTGTGTGTGTGTGTTGGTTTTTTTTTTATATTTTTTATTTTATTTTTTTTGCTGCTGCTGCTTGTGTCCGTTGTAAGCAGGAAGAAAAAAGGGGGGCCTGGTGGGGTGGGGTGGTGACGCAAAAAGGTTGCGAGCGGAAAAATAAAAATGAAAAAAGACATTACAGCGACGGCAGCAACGTTGGCAGCAGCAAAAAAAAAAATGAAGAGAATAAGAAAAAAATAAATAAATAAAAACACAAAAAGCTTGCAGAACCAAGCAGGGGGGGAGAGAGGTGGGGTAAAGAAAGGCAAAAGGCAAGAGGAAGGAGGCAAAAAAAAAAAAAAACATAACGACCGTTTCTCGTTTCATTTCGTTTGGTTTTTTTTATGCTTTTCATTTTTTTTTGTTGCCCCCCCCTTTCCAGGCCCCACATTCTCTTTATTATTATTTTCAGTTTTCTGTCTTTCTCCATTTATTTTTCTTTCTTATTTTTTTGTGCTCCTTTCTTTCAGTTTTTTTATATTTTTTTTTTGTTTTTTATGTTAGCTGGATGTTTTTCTACGTTTCTACT